TCTCTCACGACGCCCTTTCTCCTAGCGCTAGAGCATCCACATGCTTCCTAGATGTATCGCCCTACGAAACGGCTTCCCCTTCTGAGAGAAATCAGCGAGAGTGGGGGGAGAAGAGAGATCTACATCGGATGCCGAGTGATTGTGTGTGTATTTCCAGCCATTTTACAAATCATGATAGCGGGGGGGACTGAGGCAAACGTTAGACGAGTGATGAAAACGCCCACGGACGATCGAAGAGCTACCAATTTCACACGTAAATCCATCAACCGGAAGGACGATCATCCTGTTTCCCGCCGCCTCCTTGAGCACTACCAAAAATTCACTATCCTAACCCTAGAAAATGCTCAATGATTCCAAGGCATTAGGTAGAGTAAGCTAGAATGTCACAATATCCACCCGCTCCTGTCCTTAGCCCCAACGAAACGGTTTCCTGACCCGGAATCCTCTCCGCCAAACCAAGACCCCCCTCCAAGGACCTAACAACAATCAGGAAAGAGACCAATCCGCTATTTGCAATTCCCGCCATTGACTTCCTCCAGACCAATGATAGACCACTAGATAAGATTCTCCCGAATAGGGAAGAAGAACAACAAGAAAACATGGGGCACTACTTTACGTTTGTTATTTTTTTTTTTGGCAAAGCATGGCCGATGAGTGATTATCTCCATCTTGGCAAGAAGGGCACGAAAGATATTCCCTTAACCGGCGAGCCAAACCGCGTGGTTTTTCTTCACCTGCCACTGACTGACTACAGCGCTGCTTGACCGTTTGTCTTAGTCGTGCCAGCCACTCGCAAGGCACAAGGCCGACGGGAGGAATGAGGAGGCGGCGGCGCACGGAGAAGGAGAAGATCGCTCCCCCGCATGCCTACGAGTCTCTCACTATTGTCATCGGCATCGGCATGGGCACCTTGCCGTCCGTCCCCCTCCTTCCCTGCCCTACTTCCTCTCCCCGCCTATCCGTACCCCGCCGAGCCTTCATTGCCCCTCCCCCGGACGGGACGAGCGGGATCTGATCACGCGTGCAGTTACCAAAAGTAATTAACGAGGTCCCTCCTATTCACCGAGTAATTTAACAGCCATCTTATCTGGGATCGACTAATCGCCGATGTTCAAGCGTGGAAAGAAGACGGGCATAGTATCTATGTATTTCCAAAACCAGGCAGACACACCGAAAGCCCCAAAAGTAACCCCTCAGAGATTAGAAATACCAAATTGTCAACAAGGGACAAAGATTGCTTACACAGAATCCGAAGCTATCGTCAAAAGCAGAAAATCGTTCAAGGAGCAAGCTTGTCACTAAGAAGGAAGATACGTAAGGCGGGAAGGTCAAGTGTGAGACGGGAAACAAGCACCACACCAATAACGTCAACGACGACGACGACAACACTGCTAGCACACATGTTCGAGAGGCCAGGGACGGGGGCTAGGCATACCCAAAAACAAAACAAAATCATCACTAAGAAGAAATGTCTCAAATGTCGTGACCATCCCCCATCCCTCATCGCCGCGCCGCCCCGGGGTTACATCTTTTCGTGTATATGGGATTGAATTCATGTACTCATGTACGCCATTGCCTACCTTACCTGATGTATGCTCACGTAAACCTGTAAGAGTATGCATATGCGGTACCTAGTCACCTAGCTTGCCTACTTTGAATACCGCAGGCAGCCTTTTCTCCCTTTCCAAATGGAGAAGCTCCCACAAACGATAGCTTCTCGAAACGCCGAATCTCTACGGACCGAGAGACGCTTCGCGCGGTATAGATAAAAGCGCCGAACAAACGCCTCGAAGTCGTAAGCAGTCTAGCCTCCCTGGCAAGAACCACTCACTCACTCACTCACACACACAAATCAGGAACCGCGGTAAAACGGGTGAAAAAGATCCGTGTCCGTGTTTACCTCTTTGCTCTTCTACCGCCATCATGTAAATCAATAGCTCCATGCCATTTCCGGCGATTATCCTCTCGCATATGTGCAAAAGGTTTAACCCCCCCCCCATGAGAGAATTGGGGTCTATCTCTTACCGGTCTGGTGTCGAACAACAACAAAAACAAAACAAAACAAACGACGGGTAAATCGGGTAAGACGGTTGATCACTTTGAACAGTCAGCCAAGTAAGCAAACAGGCGCAAAGTAAGAGAAAATAAGCTCCCATCCGTCACGGGAACTTTTGTAGAAGACAAGTCGGCAGTAGGGAAAGTCTCGAAGGGGGGATAAACCACGGCAAAGGCCCCGGAGTTAATACGTGAAGTCCGCAAGAAGAAAGGACTGCGGTAGTCAGTCCTATTCATCTACGTAAGCCCCGGTGACGACGCCGAAGAGGAGGAAGGAACAGAAAGAGACTGCAGTCAGTAAGTGAGTAAGTGTGCCACATCACACACACCGTCACACGTCATCCGCGATGAGGGGGCCGACGACGAAACATCACCAACTTCACACCAAACTAGACCTGGCCAAACGCTTACCTATCGAACGACCGAAACGAAACGAAACCAACGTTTCCAGCTTTATCTCGATTCCCGGGCTTGCGGTTCAGCTGCTTCTTGCTGCTTAAACTCATACCTAACCCCGGACTTCGTACCCGGAAATCTTATTGAAAGTGGTAAGACAGGCCCGGCGACTGTTTCTTACGTGCGAAACTACGATGATCCCAAGCAACAGGTTTAAACGGGGGAAAATTTGGGGGATTTGTTTTTGGGGGAGGCAAAAACCCGGGAATCTGGGAAAGTGTTCCAGCACAGCCCCGATGGGTGAGACCTCCGCAGACGATTTCGTGAAAAGTCTAGCTGAAGAGAGTTTCTCGAAGCTCTATTGACCATACCTAGATGGGACAAGATGAGAGACACTCTATCACCTACCCCCCCGATGATTTTGAGGTTCCACGAAAAGATCACCACGACAGAGCGAGAGGCTCCTCGACGGGCGTCCGCTCTTGCACCTGTGCCTGGCCTTCTGCTTGCCCGGGCAGAAAAAACTTGGGTTCAAAAGGGCAATAGATGGACAGAACCGACGTATCAATGCCTAACCAGAAGTTGTGTGGCAGATTCTTGGGCGTATCTTTACGAAATCGCGTGGACTTTCTGTGCGGATGGGGCCGTTTCTGGCTCTGGGGCCTTCGATTGTTTCCCGCGCCGGACTCGAGGGGGAAAAAAAAGGCTGCGAGCGTACGTGTGCCTGAGAAAAGTGACGGTGCGGCCAGTAGAAAGACGCTAGAAGGCGACGAAGAAGATTTCCGCACGTCACCGGCGATGCCGCAAACGGGAGGCTTTCGACCAGGGACCTGGGAACGAGAGAAGAATATGCGGTGCGCGCGGGGCGAGTCCATGGCGCCGCGGGGCTTGAGGCAACTCAATTTTCCCACATGGAGGGCGTGCAAAATCCAACGAGAAGCAGAGACGCAAACAGACAGATATCGGTCCCAGGGACGTGGTGCGTGTCTCGGGGACCTGAAGCTTGCGGCAGCACGATGGTGGGCACTACACCTTGAGCGGACAGAGACCTGATAGAAACCGGCGGGAAGTGTGCCTCTAGCATCCTGCGACGGGGAGGATCAAGGCACTTTGTGGAGGCTGTGCCCGTTAGGTTTCTGGTTGTCGATGAAGCAGGAGGCTGCCATGTGCGCTGGCTGAACATGTCTCGCCGGATGCGGGTTGAAGTTCGTTGGTGAATAATGGGATGGGACAGAAAGCTCTTTCGTTGCCCAGTGGGGATACTTGCGATAGTGGATCCCGACGACAATGATATTTGCTGCTTCTGCTGAAGGCCATCCCCTCGACGGTGAAAACAAGGGCTGGATCATGTCTCGGTCCGCGCAAACAGCTGTGAACGCCTTCATCCAGTCTGTCGGGTTCATGAAGTGAATGACGAAGAGGACTCTGAGAGGCGTTAGTGGGCAAAACTCCAAGTCCCAAAACGGGGATGTAATAGAGTTGAAATTGAGGTGTGCTGCTTTCGGGGAATTGTTGTCGTCCTTGCTTGCTTAGCTAGCGGATCACTTTGCAGTAGGATTCTGGGGTCGGTAGGGTGACTGCGGCAGCGGGGCCAATGACCATGCGAGTGGATGCATGAGAATGGCAGCGGCTGCGCAGATTGCCGTGGCTATTTCCATCGGCCAAAGTCTGTGCGGCGTCTATTCGAGGCATGCCGCCCGGGCTGACCAACGAGACGTCGACGGGCGCTTGTGGGGGAGGGGGGAGAACGATAGCCTCCCGGGAGACATGGGATGAATGGAATGTTTGGATGACTGATGCGCGGGCGCTAGCCATGGTGCTGCAGCTCAGTGATGGAACGACAAATTGAGGCTCAGAGGGCGAGGACGCGCTTCCTGAAACGCGGCGGTTGGGGGCTGATCCGAGGCGACGGCGAGCGGTTCGTCGCCTGTCTTACTCTTGCTTGTAAGGTAGGGACGATCTTGGCTGGCGGCCGTGATTGGTGTCCATGAGCGGGCGTCTTTTGTAGCTGGCGTTTGAGAAAAAGGATTCGAGCTAAGAAGAGGGATAAGCCGCCTGCAGTATTTTGGCGCCCGGCACCAAAGCCTTGAATTGCATCTGTTCAAACCTCGAACAGCGATCCTTTCAGACCAATGCGTCTGACAGCTGTCCTGGCAGCCGGATGGACAAGGGGTGTCAATGTAAACGCAAAGATGCTGGAGTGTCAGTCAACTGCATCATTCTCGTAGGAGAGTTAAGATGGCAAGCCTCAGTTTTGGTGGTAGAAAGTTTGCTTTCTTGTTGTTTTTCCTGGCGTTCCTTGGGCGGACCGGCGTTGAGCTTGAATTGCCGTCCACAAGAGGAAAGGTCACTCGGCGACGTGCCGACGAGGCGTCGCGGAAGACACCGCATGGCTGGCTATTGGAGTCGACGTAGGTTTTTACGTATTGTTGATCGTGGTGCGGCGAACTTTTCCCACTTTCACGCCGCGACCGAGACATCAAAGGATGGAAGTGGCCGGACGGCGCCACGCCCCGGTAAGCGGACGCCGCTGGTAGATGACCACTGGCTTACACAGGAACCTCCTTACACAGTCCTCGCAGGAATCTTGCAGTGTTCGTTCTGTCGAGTCTCGGCGGAGTGGCATTTCGTACGAAGAGTGGCTTGGCGGGCTTCGTCCCTGCGTCGTCTCTTCCAATGCTGTAGGCATGGGTTGTTGAATATGAGTGACGTTGGCTTGACTGCACCGCCATGGCGATGTCAAAGTGCCGATGAATTCTTCTTTCTTTTTTTCCTCTTGCTGCGGAGACAATTCGCATTGTGACGCTGGCCGGGTGAGGGTCAATATGGCCTTCAAAGCTACCAAAAAAAGGAACCGAATGACTAACCACCAGAGCCACGTTCGGATCCGGGAAGTGGCGGCTCGGGTGGGACGGGAGGGGAGAATGAATAATCGCCGCGGGGGAGGCCCGAAGTGTGGCTGGTTCCGTGGTACGTTCGCCGTCGCTGTCGCGTCCTATAATATGGCGCTGCGGCTGCGACTGCGACTGCGAGTCGCGAGGGGCCAGGGCCGAGGGCGAGCTGGGCGAGGAAAAGCGCAGCAGGCCAGGCCAGCAGCCAACAGGAACAGGGGGGCCCGACGCAGGGCAGCAAAATCCCTGAGGAGAGTGATCGGGAGAGTCGTCGATCAACTGACTAAAGAGCCGAGGCCGGCGATCAGCGATGGGATGACAGATTTTGAGCAGCGCACGCACCACACCTTGGAATCCCTGCTGGGCAAATGGGAACGCGCGAGCATCCCAGCGTGACAGGGAAAGGGTCCGAAGGGGGGGCGTGAACTTTGATGCCATGAAAGGCATGGCCGCAACTGTGGCTCAAAACGGGAGAGAGACCGCCCTATGCGGGGTACAGATTCAGCGAATGCCTGGGTTCCATCACCCCATGCTATGGTCCCAAGTCCCTACCCACACATGGGCATGCCTCCCATCAGCTGGCGCAAGCCGAACGGTGCAGGGGACAAGACACCATAACTGGTTCATCGCTTCAGTGGGTGCATGAATTCGCATCACGAACATCTCCGTGTGGCGGAGACTGCCGGTGTTTGCTGTGTCAGGCGAACATGTGTCTTTTTCGATGCACTTTGTCTGAGCCCGCACCGGATCACGTCGCTGTGACCGAAGTCGTTGTCGCATTCGACCCAGTAGGCCGGAAAACCCCCCATCAATTTTCGTCAATAGGCCTCCCGGCCAGCTGGTCGTGGGTAAGTTCAAGACTTCAGCCACAATCTGTCTCGGGACATAGCCACCTCATGTGGCCTAGGCTTTGAGGCGCGATTGGCGAACTCGTACTACAGTGCTGGTGTTCTGTTCCAAGGCCATCCCGCCAATCACGGCTCTCGCGTGGCATTGTACCGGAGTGGTCTCCGACACACCAGGACCGAAGCGGCAAGGCCTTCCGGTAAATGTGGGCCCCGAGTTTGAGGAGGTGGGAGATGGGGCTCGGGAGTCGTTGAGGGGAGGGAGAAGGGAGGCGGTGAGGAATTCGGTCGGGTGCCGAGACGGTCTAGACGGACGGACGGCCGGCGGACTCTGCAGTTTTTCTGCAATGGCTGGACGAGGTTGAGTCTCTGCGTTGGCTCAGCATGCGACGTGGACCAACTCGACCGAATGAATTGGAGATGCCCACAGCGAATGAGTGTATCCTGGCGGTGATGATGGATTGATTCTGCTCACCCCCTTCCAAGTCCCTCTCGTCCTGCTTGTGATGCTTGTAAGCAGGGTACCTAGTTGCATTACTGCATCAATCTTCCGGTGCCAGATACAGTTGAATCGTCTCCTCTGCCATTGACCGCCCCCCTGAGAATGGGGTTTAGTTGAACAGCCGATGATGCACTCGTACGCTTGCGCAACCACTTCTCCAGGGCTAGACTCGAAGCTGTAGTCTGTCCCCCCCCCCCCCCCCCCCCCCCGCCGCGTTACAAGCAAAATATGGTGCAGATCGGTCGTGTCTTTCAGGGGAAACTCCAGGTGGCTGCGATAGAGGCTAGGCTGTTGCAGAACTTCAAGCATACCATCTTCCCAGCACGCAGCGCCTTGATGCATGGTGGCGGTCGTTAGTACCCTCCTGCCCGAGATAAGAGGGGTATCATATTACCCGTCAGTTAAACAGATAAAGCCGCAATAGGCAACGTAGGGATCGAGTGCTAGTAAGCGGCTGGGTGTCTTGGTATGGGCTACGATGAGGGGGGAAGAGCAACGTGAATTGGGCCCGACCAAGACGCCTGACACATTTGGCAAGTCGCTCGGTGGCCCGCGGGTCATGGCGAAGCCACCGTCGCAGGAGGTCATTTTGAAAAGACGCTTGGCGCGAAGCTATCGACGCCGACCGTAGGGCTCGGGCATGTGGTTGTCGACGGTGCTTCTGCCCGCTTGTCAGCTGCCATCCGGTCTCTGTTGATGGCCTTGCCATGAGGGGCCCGGGCTAATTCGCACGAGACTCTGCATGCAAGTCGTTGGCTCACGATGGAGCCAGGAGAAGCTCACTTTGTTGGGGGCTTTTTGACAATGTGTGACTGTGACTGCTTGCTTGCGTTAGGCTGTCAGCTTCGTCACCCCTCCGCATTCTCGACCCTCACCCTGCGTCTCGGCGTCGGTCCACTGACCCGAGAAAGTCGGAATGAAATGGAGAACATAGGGGAACCGTTGCAGTGATCCCAAACGCGACTTGGACACGTAAAGCCGGAGGAAAGAAGGGGGGGGGGAGTGCATTCGATTGGGAATGAAGAGGCATACACATGAAACCGTAACGTGGGGAACGATCTACTTCAGGGGACGGGAGTATCGATTAGTGCGTGAGCATATTGCCAGGCTTCAACAGGGGGAACATTTCCCTCCAGTGAAGTCGAAAACGAGCTCGTTCCCTGCTACAGCATGGCCACACCCTCTTGTCAATTGCGGGAAGGGAGCGATCAGTCATGCGAACCCGAAACTTTTGACTTTTTGGCGGGTGGCAGGATTGCGCCTGTATCCGTAGGCTGTTGGCAGCATTAAGACAGAGTCCGTGTCCTGCGCGCTGCCGGAGATCATCTCCAGCGTAGGGCAGGGTAACCGGTTATGGGAAAGGCATGAGGCCCCAATCTCGACGTTTGGCTGTGATTGACTGGCGGTAGAGGTTGATTGGCATGGACGTTTAACTGTTGAGTTCGGGACTAGGATTGCATCGAGGGCTTTGTGCTTGATCGAGGATTGGGTGAGCCTTCCCGCCTTGTGGAGGAACTCCGTCTATTCGGAAAGTCTGTTTGGGATTTCAGTGGGAGGAGGCGAGTAGGTGAAGCCACACGATTAACGGCTTCTTCTCCCCTTTCAGGCAAGCCAAGGTGCGCCATGAAATCTAGGTTCCTGCTGATAGACCGAAAGCCCGACAAAGGAGCAAACTCCTCAGCCAGAGCGTGAGGTTCTCAGGTTCGTGGGGTTGGGAGACATTTCCTGGCTGGACTGGGCTGAAGGTAGCCTAAGCCTCCTTTGAAGTTAACAAGGAGCCACTGCTGAGCATGCCAGTAGGCCGCTAGAGTGTAAGACGATTGACCGTGGTTGGCTGACGGCCCCTGGTGTTCCGCTAGTTGACGGTTAAGCTGGTGGCAGGATGCAAAACCATTATGGAATGTCTCAGAGGCCGAAGAGAGGGCGCTCCGTGTGTGTCGTTTCATGAACAGCACCCGACGCTTGCCCCGTTGCGGTCTGCTTTTGCTGTTGAGCTGCTGATGCGAAATGGGAAACAACATTCATGATGATTTCGAAACCAAGGAATCGCCTAGGCGGGATTGGCTGTGCCGTGCCGCAACTTGCGGGCGTGGTCTCACTTTGTTCTGACTGTTCAGACTTTTGCCAGCGCGGGCGTTGGCCTTTGGAGCAAATCTGTGGATGCCAAAGCTGGAGGCGTTCATCGTTCTCCATGTGGACTTCTTCTTGAAGATGGGCGGCATCATGCTGACCGCAATGCACACCAATGCAGTACTGGTTGCAGAACAGCTGGCTGTGGCTTTCTTTGATGATACTTTCCGCCCAAGGGTATACCAGTGAGTGTACAGCGAGAAACCCAAGGCCCAAGAAGAGCGTGCGTTTGTTGATCTCTTCTGAGGCGGCGATAAGATTGGCAACTGCGAGCATGATTGCAGGCGAGCAGCATGGGCGTCTCCAAAACAAAGCAGCATAGCCAAGCCTGAGCAGCAGCCCAACAGCAGTAAACCGTAACATTGCAGAGCGGCAGGGGACACGAGATGAGTCACGGAGGCGTAAGGTAGGTAGGTAATCTTCTCCCCAGAGCCTAAAGTTCTAAACAGAGGGCGAGAAGCAGGGCGGCGGCGGCGAATCGGCGCCAGGTCAATAAAGATCGGTCACGACGCGGGCCGGATTTCATCGGTCGGGAACCGCGCGGCGCGGCGTGCTAACACTTGATAGACGTGGTGGTTGATATCATGTCTTGTTCAGGTAAGGCGATGCAAGGCCCGTCGATACGCTGTTTCAGAGAGGGAGCCGAAAATAAAGAATAGCGGAGATTACAGATAGACGCCCACTGGTTCGAGAGGGACGAGTTGAAGGGTTGTCGTCGTCCAGGCGGAAGCGAGATCTTGTTCTCCGGAAGGCCTCGTTTCTTGGCCGTCTGCGTAGATCGATTGGAAGAGAGCGTCGGAGAAAAGTGCCCATCGCTTGTTTCATCTGCGTACTCAACGTAGGACGCGGCCACCAATGAGCCGCGCGCATCTGTCGTGTCAATTTCAGGTCTTTGGGTGAGGTAAACGGCAGGCCAAGTATAGGACCTTGTCAGTGACAGCGGAAAGCAAGCTGACGTGCGTAGGAAGTACCTTTAGCTTGGATTGCTTGGGTCTGCCATGCTTTGCGTGACCTCGCGTGCCTTGCTCTGTTCTGTTGTGCTTTGCTGTGAAGTAATATCCGTAATTGATTCTTTTTTGGTGCTGAGCTGGCGGCTGAGGATTCGTTCACTTGATCCAGTCACATTTCATCTCTAGTTCCCACCGTCAGGCAAGGGCTGCAGGAAGAGGCGAGAGGCAAGGGAGGACGACTCCAGATGAAGGTACGTACTTACTCCTTCCACCTCCTGATAGAGTACCTTGGCCAATGGGAATGTTCAACCTGCGTGAGGTGCAGCCGCCAGCTCACCTCAACTGACAGATGGAGAAGCAGCGAATGGCTGGGGGTGGGTCTGCCTCCGTGCCTCCCTTTCCTTCTTCTTCTTCTTCTCCCGCCATCGTATCCGTCAGGTACGAGCCCAAGTAAGTACTTTCCAAGTGAACAAGAATAGGCAGGCACAAAGGTATCCATCAACATCAGTACCTTCCTATCCGTATTCCGTAAAGATAATCTTATTCGCGAGTCGCCGCCAGCTTTCGTACGTCCGCATGTTTGCTGCAGTCTCTCGTCTGGGGCTCTGGGTGGACAAGAAAAACTCCTGCTTCTTGTTTTTCGGAGACAAGGGCCCTTGCTTGTGGGATCGTGTCTTGGTGTTTCTGCAACCACTGGCTGAAATAGGATCGCTTCTGGTGTGCAGCGGTACTGGGGTGGAGGACTGGAGGGGCCTTGAACCGAGCTGTAATGACCAGTCAACGGGCTTCGTGAGACACTCCAAATGAAGGTCGACCTATTACACGATGGTTCACTGTTCGCTTGTTGTCATTCTTGTTCTTCGCCGCCGTCAAGGACCGGCGGATCCAATCCTGCATCGTGCTCCCGTCCGTAACCCAGCGTTGCGCGTGTACCTGGATTTAGGCCGTGGTCTTGGTCACTGGTTCCAATCTTACTTTGGGTCTTGGTTGTTGGGCTTGCAAAAGTAAATATATCGATCTCATCCCTCACCTCGGCGCCTCTAGCAGCACTATATTTCATCCCTGTGTCCTCCTCCCTCTTGAGCCTTGAATCTTGAGTCTCGATCTGCCCGGACGTGATTCTCCTTTTCCAAATCAACTTGCATCATCATCACTGGTATTTGAGGGCTGTTGTATTGAATACGACAGTTTTGTCATTAGTCCTTTCCGCATCCAATAGCACCACCGCCGAGCTTCACCACCGTTCATCAACCAGCGAAAGCAGGGAGACGGAGCAGAGACAGCACCCATTCGGAGGTACCCCGGAAGCTACCGATCTACCATCGCAGAACGCGTCCCTTTCCCCCGATTTCATCTTCATCAACAGCCGGCCTGGTTAATACGAATCGGATCTCTTCAATAATTGTTTTTTCTTCTCGTTGCCGGGCTTCTTGTTTACCACTCTATTTACTTTCATCTGATTTCTTGTTTACTCTCCTCTCTCTCTCTCTCTCTCTCTCTCTCTCTCTCTCTCTCTCTTTCTCTCTCTCTCAACTATCGAACCCCTCCGTTGCTGGTCATCGCGTCTCCGAAAGGTACCTACCTCCAGGTAATTGCTGAACCCCTTCACGGCCCCAAGTGTCCGTCACTTCCTTCCCCCTCGAGCCCCTCCAACGACTTTCCCATTCCAGTGGTTCTGTCGCCCCACAGCAGCTGCCAGTAGCGCCTTCCCAACTGTGCACCACCACGGAATACACACGCACACGCACCTGCCCTGCCCGCTCTCATCCCATCCCATCGCCGCCAGTGCCTTTCCGCCCGCCGACTTGCCAAGGCTCTTCTCCAGATAATACCATTTTTGATCCCTTTGGTCACGTCCGCCATCCGCTATCCATCGTCAAGAGAAACTGGAACTGGAACCGATATTCCTTATTGGATCTATTGAATCTTGCTTGGATCGTCACTTCCCTGTCGTCGTCAGATATTTCGCCTACGCGAATCTGAATTAAAAGGCAGACACCGGCCTGCATTCTTTCACCCATCAGCCACCAGCCATCAATCAATCACTCTCTTCACCACCACCAACGGCAATCATCACCAACACACGGTTACACTTCAACACCAGCCAGCCACTTCCTCTCGCTCAGGCCTTTTACTGGTTCTTTTTCCGCTCGTATTATACATCGTCAGCCCCAGGCACACTGCATACTATCTTGCTTCTCACGCAAATCCAACACTACAACTTGGTGCATCACATCATCTTTTGCGAAGCCGAGATTCACGCGAGAGACAAGAGACGCCCGTCCGTTTACATCTTCGATCTGACACTTTAATCCTCGTGTTCAAGTCCGCCTTCAATTCTGCCGGAAAGCCTCGACTCTTGGACAAGCACCTGCTGCATGCTGCATCATAGCGTGTGTGGTTCCCAATCAATCTCATCCACCCAATCCAGTCGACTCCAACTGCCCGACTTGGACATCCCCTGCTTGCGGCTTTCCATTCGCAGAAGACAACCTGCACCGCCTCGCACCCCAACTGCCACCGGACACACTCCCGACACTTCTGCACGGTCGAGAACTTGACGGAAGGCATCAAGTACCCGCTACCTCCTTCTCCGCGCAATTTTGACCTGTCGGCCCACGTACCCCATACTCTCCACCGCATCGCCCTGAGAAGTGGAAAGCGGATTCAACTTCGGAAAAGTGCATTGCCAAAGCCTCACTCACATACAACTCTGAACGTACACACGGTTCACTTTGTGGTCAACCTTGGACGTTGCCGAACCTTCTCTACGGGATACGTTAGAGCTTGGGGACACTGCTTGACAACTGCCCTGTCGTCATTCCATTTTCCCAGCACTCTGGTCCAGTAGAATAGTTCTCTGGACACCTTGCTTGTCGCATCGAGAGTCTCCATTTCTAGGACCATCCCAATTCCTGAATACCTTGACGTCGGTACCTTGTTGCCTTGTAACGACAATATCGACTTAATTCATCTGTCAGCGACACTTTGCGCCAGACAAACTTTCGAGTCTGGTCTCTTGCTCCGAGTTGAAAGGAGTGTCAATCATTTTCCCGTCTTCGACCGCCGCTCTCACGTTTTCGGACTTCGGATCCCGGCCGAACAAAGCACCAAGTCGCTGCTGACCAGCCCTCTACTTTCTGCTGCATACCCGACCGCATCGCAATCGCCCCGCGGCCCCGAGAACAATTAATCAACAATCGACATTCGTCTTACACCGTCCGCTGGCTCGGAAGCTCTGGATTCAACCGCCCTCGTCGTTGCCAATATTTTCGATCCTCAAACGGATCATCGCCGCTCTGCCGCTTCTACCGCCTTCCGGTAGAGCAAACTAATACCTACCCTACGGATACTCCATCCATCCCACTCTCTCATCCCGCTCGCTGCCGAGTGCCTTTGGACGCACGACGCACGACCTAACCGTCAATCGTCACTTGTTTAATCAATCCGATCCAACTCAAATCGCCGACCATTGGCTCAATCTGTCCTAGACAGTGCTCGACGCATCAAGCTCATTTCACGACAAAACGAAGGAAATCACCTCGCCGTCTTGACCCTTTCTCCTGAACCCAAACCCAATAACACAGGCCGCAATAATCCCTGACTCGCCCCCGGGTCGTTTTACTTGACGCCGTCACCTCCTCACCCGCAACTCTTCCAAGCGCTTGGCAAAAGTTGACTCGGCTCTCGCTGTCCGTTTGCAGAACCTTCAAAAGTTGTCCTATTCCTCCATTCGTCATAGGCCACCGGGCAATTTCCAGAAGTTTGGGTTTCGGTCTGTTCACTGCTATTGTCATCGCCTTGAACAATCGCAAAAGTCATTAGCCGCCGTACTCCAACTTCTCTGTTTCCAGCTTCCAGGAAACCCACTCGACCAGCGCCCTTTCGTCCTTCTTTGCCGACGTCGTTGGCGTCTACCATTCTACTCATTCACAAATCGCCACCTGCCGGATACTCGCCGACTTCGCCGAAACAGTATTCAATTCTGCTATACCAGCACATTCACACAATCATTGCAACAATACCGACAGCACTGTCGCTAGACTGTTTCTCTCCGTTGATACCGAAGAGATTTACTTGTTTCCGAGTCCCATCGACGACAACATCTTTTGCACCGCCAAGGCCACTTGCGAGAAGCTCGCAAGCAACAATAGTACACTCTTCAGTCTGGGCAGACTTAGAGAGCAGCGCCACAGTGCCATCTCTGATTTGAAGGTTAAATACAGCAACGAGAAAAGCAAACCCACCGACTTGCAGCCGCTCGCACCGAGTCTGCAACCTGCGAGAGTCTAAAGATCCAGACCCCTGCCGGCCAGTCCGCTACGCACCCCCTGCGACCTCGCTTCTTTTGGACAACTCTCTTGTCCAGTTCTTGGTGGTGGTTGTTTATCGACACACCATTCTGTTCACGCCTCCCTAACCACCCCCTGCCACCCGTAACCCAAGCACGCCCCTACCCCCTGTACGCCTTCACACCCCTGCACCCCTGGGATCTACAGCATTCCAGCCCACCCCAAGCATCCAAGCCCCCCCAGCAGGCACTTCCGTCGGCGTCCTGCTGAGACTCCCCTAAAAAACTAACCCCCTACTACGCTAGCACTTGACTAGCGACCCCCTGACAACCTGCCCACTCAGCCTCGTGGACCGCACGTCACCCACTGACGACTGGCTGTTCCGCATCCCTCTCTACCAGGCCCATCCCCAGAGGCTGGCCCCAGCAATTGCGACGAGGCACATGAACTTCGCCGCACACCACGCTTGTACCCTCCTTTTCGTCTGAATATATCAGCCCAGCCTGCCCTTCCACCATTCTCTTCACTCTCCTCTCATTTCGTCACTCTTCACCGAACCTCACCAACCAACAACAAAAGGAACACTCCTTCTTACACCAAGGAGCCCTTGACTGTACTACGACTCCACTTCGGAATCATCATCTCCATCTCCATCATCCACCACCAACCACCTCACCCTCAACCACATTACACATACACACAATGGAGTCACGGTCACATCTCAGCATGGCCGAGCTCAACGCCGCCGCCCTCGACCACTTCGTATACCAGCCCGTCAGCAAGTCTATGATCTCGTACTTGGCCGGCGCCGCCTACAATGTCATCTCATGTGACAGTGCTCTGATGCCTCCCGCATCCGCAGAGGCCCAACGTCAACAGCAGCTTCCCCCGACGCCACCCAGGACACCCGAGCCCCGCGCCGTTCGCAACGAGGACGCCGACTTGCCTACTCTCGAGGCCTTCATCACACAACTCGTTGTTTCCTCCAACGTCCAAGTTCCTACTCTGATGTCTACCCTGGTCTACCTCACCAGACTCAAGTCCCGCCTTCAGCCCATGGCCCGCGGTCTGCGATGCACAACACACCGCATCTTCCTTGCCGCACTCATCCTTACTGCCAAGTACCTCAACGACAGCTCACCCAAGAACAAGCACTGGGCCACATACAGCCACGTCAACAACGACTTCTCCAACTTTGGCTTCAGCAGAACGGAGGTCAACTTGATGGAGAAACAGCTTCTCTTCCTTCTCGATTGGGAGCTCAGGATCTCCGAGGAGGACCTCTACCGCGAGCTTGATCCCTTCCTGGCTCCCATCCGCGCCGAGATCGAGGCCAAGCACGCCCGCCGCATCGCTCGCCGCCGCAAGCAAGAGGAGGAGATGCGCCGCAGACATGAAGAGATGTACAGCGTCCCTGCGTACCCCAGCCCCCCATCATCGCGCGCGAGCTCCCGCTCCCGCTTGGAGTCGCCTGACCACGCCCGCACCTACAGCGGCTCTTCCAGAACTCCTCCCGGCCTGTGCTACAGCAGCAGCTATGGCAGCTCCGTCAGCTCCTACGCTCCTTCAGTGGCATCGAGCCGGTCTCAATCGCGTGCCACGACGCCTCTCGACAACCCTGCCGACGAGCCGTACATGTACGTTCCCAACGGTAGCTTGTACGAGTCGCCAGTGGAGGTGCACATTGAGCAGCCTGCATCAACGCTTCCGAAGCGCAAGCCTCTTCTGCCCTACGAAATCAGCACCGAGGAGCTCCGCGACATGCAAGATGGCACAAAGGCCAAGAGAGCCCGCATGGGCCGCGGGATGTGGGGCCGCGTCTTCGGCGGCGCCGTGACTGTGCGGTAACCTGCTGCGCAACACAATTTTCACCTTTGTCACAGCCTCTATTTTTACAAGTTTTCTTGCGTTTTGAGCCACCCCCCCCCAAAAAAAAGCATGGTGTTGGATTGTGCTATAGAGACATCCGGGGGAAACAGACTTGATTTCACCATCTTTTCCTTTCTCTTTTTCCGAAGGCGTTGGTAATGGACTGGTGGTACATGGATTACGGATCGAGGATAGAGCATCCTCGGGCATTTGCATATATGGAACGGTGTTGGGCGGACATTCATGAACATGATTTTTCTCTTCTTCTTTGGGTCATTTGACGTCCTCGCATGGTAGAGGGTCGTCGTGTGGGATTAGGAATTAGGGAAACTGGCAAGCCACGACTAAGACAAGTCTGGCACCTATCTTAGCGTAGCAGCAGTACGTGGGCAACAGATCAACTCGCAATTGCGAGATTTGACGACCCTACAAATGAAAGTAACGGGCCTTGGCTCGATTCCAAACAATCATCTCAACTCTCCAATTTTTTTGGTTTCGTGAACAGTGAATATGACTTCTGCTTGCAGCTTTGGCCAGAACTTGGGGGTGAGGGTTTCCGGAATCATGGCTCAGAACGGTTGGCGCTAGTTGGGGGAAATCTTATTCTTGTATGCATACCATGTCTTGGTGAGGCCCTCGTGACGGGTGAATGCAGCCCAGCCAACCAGCGGTGTGTGGGGGGTTTGAACCGTGAGCCGTGAGCAGGAAGGATTTCGCATTCAGCAGACAATGCGAGACATTGATCCCGTAAACAATTGGCGGTCCAGGGGGGGGGCGATTAGCCGCGATACTACGCTGCCGGTCATTTACGATGTTCTCATGTCTGGCTGCAGCGTCTCACGGGGTCTAGGTATTGGGTTTGATGGGGGATCGCATGCAGTCAATTTGCTCTTGAGAGACGCAGTCAATTTCTTGATTTCTTTTATTTTCCCCTCTTCACGATGACGGGGTAATCTTTCTTATTTTTTATCTCTTGCTGTGTGAAGGGCGAATTCTTGATTGCATGACGTGCCATGACTTGTTGTAGAAGCTTATCTCCCCCATCCACATGCTGTCAGATAACGACAGGTATTACTGCGTACTCTAGTCATGAACATGCACCCGACGACGTCAGTACGCAGGGCAAGCAAGCAAGTACTCTATAGGTGTGCAAGGCATGAATCGGACGAGAGTTTTTTTCTGTAGGTACAAGCATACACACATACACACACACCGATATAAGAGCACTGTCTGCGTTGGCCCTCCCCCTCCAAAACGATGCGGTCAGGACTCGAGGATAAGAAGAAGAAGAAAAAAAACCTTGAAGAGGCTACTGCGTAGGGGGATCGAAAGACTTGCAACCGTAAACGTCTTTTTTGGGGGGGTGTCACGAAACGATTTCGGCGTTCTCAAGGGGTACCGGATATCCGTATTTGGGATTCTAGGTGAGACAGAGTAAGACTTTTGGGATTTACCGACGATGAATGCGGGTGAAGTAGCGGTGCTAAGTGACCAGGTACGGGGTTTATAGAACGGACGGAGCGGCATGGACGGACGGGGGTTTTAGGGTTGGGAAAGGAACGTTTACGTGCGGTACTGGCTTCGGAAGGCAAGCCCTCCAGGTCATTTCTTCACCGGTTCAAGGCGGGAAGGGGAAAGAAAGACGAAGACAGACAGATTTTGGATTTGGCTACGGTTCATTGGATCGGGTTGAATACGGACTTTGGTGGCTTGGTTCCCTCCTCCCATCCTTCTCTTGGTACCTTATCGGAGAATAGCGGTCGACGATGCCGGTGCCGGCGGTGGGATCGGAGGAGGAGGGGAGGAGGGGGGGGTCCAGGCCTTGGAGATATCGCGGGGTACGGTGCCTCGAACCCTTAGTCAAGGGTTTTAGTGTACCGTATTCTGACATTGACACTTGACAGTACTCAAATCCACAGTCTAGATCTAGGCTTCCCTCCATCCTCTGGACCTGTTGCCATCTTACCACCCCCTCAGCCCCCTTCTAGCTTTTGACGCTAACACTATGGTACTACGGTTACTTTTGGTGTAACCGCGATCATGAGCGTTCGGGCATCGTTCCGGGTCTTTGGGTCGGTGAGTGCGTGTGTTTCTTCGAACCCCTCCTCCGAGTAGAACGGAGAATCCCGAAAAAGGCATTCGCGGTCGGGGAAAACCTGAGAGGTATCGTGTGTCCGTCTTTCTCCGGTTCCAGAGAGGACCAAGCCCATAGATGGAGGGAGGGGCGTGTGAGGGTTGAACGACTTCGATCGGAATGCGGCTCACGATGATTTGACCCCGGTGGATGGAACAACCCCCCGTCACCTAAACCTCCATGGGAGCATCGTCACGTTTGTTCTTGTCTTCCTTCTCGTACCCAGCTTACGCATCGTTACCTCCAAATCCGCTGTGTATCCAACGGGTTTAAAGGATATCCTTTCCTGCATGAGCGTTTTAGAGCGATGCATAGGGATAGACGTGTCGTGACGCACAATGTGGTTACACGGTTCCCTATCCGTCGTTGGCATCTGCGATAAACGGTCGCAATGCCTAAAGTGAGGCGGATAAGTACCTTACGTAGTAGCTTTCCCAAAAAAATCGCCGACAAGGTTTCTCTCAATTCTTAGGGGTCCAAAGAAATAGTGACGTCTGTAAAAGGTGCCATCTTGGGCATTTGGTTGGGCAACGAAGAACGAGCGAGAGCAAAGTTTACACACTTTTCAAGGTGCTTGAGGCTTGGGGGTTGGTTGTTAGTTTGCCTTGGTTTGCTTGGGTAGGCGTGGGATGGAGGGGTCTTGCTTGCTCAACCACCCCCAATGTTTTTAGCCACGTATGCTGCCTACTAGGTATCAATTATGCAGTGAAATCCTCGTCCTCTAGGCATCATCATCACAAGCTTGAGGGAAGGTGAAGAAACAATAAAACAAGGTCCAGGTCGTTGCAGAATACGCATCCTGGTGGACTTTGGGGGAGGATTCGGGCTGCAATCGCTATCGGGGGAAAAATGTCGGTCAAGGGTCGGAATTTGGGATTGGAAGAGGAGTGAATGGGGGGAGGGGTGTGCGCGATGATCGTGCATCGCTCAGATTTCCGCCGTGCTTTAGGATGTGCATGTGTGGCTGGGGCCGGGGTGGAAAGGGCATCGAAAACCATCAGGAAGCAGGATTTTTAGGCTCCGACCCCGCGAAGATATTCCCCTCCTCACAAACACACACAGAGTACCGTGCAGGTGTTCCTCCTCCTCACTCGTATGAGTGGATGAGGTTATGTTTGCCAGAGGTCGTGATCGTGAGAAAGGAACCTGGCCGGTCCAGGCCTTCCTTGCCCTGGGCCTAGGCAACCTAGGCTTGCCTGGTCAAGACGCGGATACGTGGATGACGGTTGCAGGGTGTAAGGTACTCCGCTTCGTGTTCAGTGTTGGGCTCCAGCAGGCTTGTAAGGGCCGGAACATCGTCCCATGCTTGGCCGCTGGCCGGCGGTCGGGGTCGGCGTGGGTCTCTCGAGACCGGCTCGGAGGGGCTGGGGGAGTGTTCATCAATCGACACTAGATGAGTCACGAGGTCGGGGAGCGGCGGGCCAAGTTTTGCGGTCGGATGACTGGCAAGATTGGTCCAGTCCCAGTCCTTTCTTCACGATGCGCCAATAGTCCAACGGGTCCCGGTCGCTGGCCCAGTGGATTGCCTGTCGTCTTTCTCCCCTCGAGGTCGGGTCATTATCCACGAAGGGCCCGTGTGCGCCTGTCAGCTTCTTTGCCCAACCCCGGTGTACGGCGTGCCGTTGGCCCGTCGCATACGCCTGGCTTGTTTGCGTGAGAACCCGCCCCCGGATTCGTGGACACGGGCCGTGGCAAAGGGTCGCCTCACGCCAAGGTCAAATGACTTGCATCCCTGCCACCCTTGCCTTCTCTACCATGCCCCGCGCGATCCCACTGGCGTGCTGTACACAGTAGAACCACGGCCGCGTCGCGAGACCGAGGGCTCCGGCTGGGCGAACCGCGAAGTCACAGGGAAGTCAGCTTGCCGTCATCGACTGTGTTCGCACCTATCCAGACGGGTATCCGAACGGATACCAAGGTTGATTCAATGTGGCTTGGGCCAACCGTTCGTTTTTTGCCTCGTTTCCCACCTTGCCGATAGAGCTGTGTAGGTTTGTTAGTGATTAGGTGTTTTTTTGAGTTGGTCCACATTGTTGACTTTCGGGGCGTTGGCAAACCTAACGGCCGTTGAGGAGTTGCTGCGCCGTGTCCTCAGCCCCAAGTTCTCAACCAAAAGCATGGGCTACACGCCAAGGTGCTCGCATCGCATAGTATTTGCCGGTGGATGTCTCGGCAAAAGGTAAATAGCAAAGGAGTAAAGTCATGCCAATCCTATTGTCTCCTTGAATATGCCTGGCCTTGGCTGAGTAGTGGTTGGACTTCAGATTGTCAGCAGTCTTTTGATGACGCTGATAGCGGAGCTCGCGGCTGGCACGGCGATGCCAAGGAATACCCTAAGCACCCAGTATCTGTATCGAGCCAAGCCCCACGCGCATCGTGACTTTCAACTTCAATAGTAGGTGTGTCGATCATCGCATTATTGCCAATGACAGGGCGGTACTGCCAAGACGAGGAAGTTGGTCATTAATGTTTGAGGTGATCGTAGACTTTTCAGTGTTGTAAGCCCGCACTGCCCCGCTGTCCTAGAGATGCGCTGACATGGGATTCAGCTGAGCCGCGAACGCTTGAAATTGACGCGATGATGGTCCAAGGACCTCCATAAGCCAGCAGAGGGGTATATCGTAGTGCTGATTAAAGTAGCCGGATTGAGATTGTTTTTCGCAATGCCGACACCAAAGGGGGTAGATGCAGTCTTGGTCGGTGCTCTCGAACTGGAAGCTTCTGACACAGTCTGAGCGGTTGGTCCGATGTTGACATAGCCTTGAGGCTCATCCCGCGTCTGTTCGCCGACTTCCAGAATGGGTATGGGCACACGAGCAGTATGCTATCCGAAGTTTTCTGTCTC